CAGCATTTCTTGTCTAATTCAATATTTTCCCGCCGTACAAGTGTCACTCTTTTTTAACTATAAACCTTGCTTGAAAAGTTTAGCCTTTTTTTTTTAAATGGACATTCCGTTATTCATTTGAGCGAGCAACTGTCAGCATTCTTTGCCTATTTCAATATTTTTCGCCTTTTTTAACTATAAACCTTGCTTGAAAAACTTCCACGGCATTTTGAAACAAACAACACAGAAGTTTAGCCTGTCCCCTTCGCTCCTCTTCCTTGCTTTACCCTGTCCACCCTCCATGCACCCTCCACCCCAAAACCAACACGACTCACGAAACAGATTACAAGACCATTTTGTGATCTTTATTGCCGTAGATGTGCATTCAATGACTACTTACAGTGTTTCAAAGGGCTGCTATTAAATTGCCGACCGCTAACAATGACGTGCAGAACCAATTTAAAAATTCTAAAACAAAAACCTGGTTTCTTACGCCCTTTTTTGTTTGTTATTCACGTTTAAGACTTTTGTATTAGTTTTGTGTGAAAACCTGAAGTGTATTTGCATTCAAACAAATAAGATTTCTTATCTTAAAGAAACGTGGCATTTGTGTTCTTTGTAATGGAAATGGAACTGTCAATCGTGCTGCAGAGAAGCACTTGAAATGTATTTCTCGTCCGGGGATTGATGATCAGGATAACTTTAAATGTCCTAGGAAAATATCATTGTTCTTTTGGTTTAGGAATTGCTGATTTTTTCTTTAAATCTTCTAAATCTTCAAATTGTGGAGGCTCGTAAGATCTTCCCCATAATCCAATGCGTGATTGTCTTTTTCCCCAAAGTCCAAGTTGACCGGGGTCAGCACTTCTTCCCCATAGTCCTGGGCTCTGACGCTTACCCCACATGCCAAAGTCTAGATCTTGGCGTTTTCCCCATAGTCCAGGCTGCTGTGCGTCTGCGGATCTACCCCATAATCCGGGGTTTTGACGCTTGCTCCACAGGCCAGGCTGTCCTGGATCAGCGGATCTTCCCCATAGTCCGGGGTTTTGACGTTTTCCCCCCCACAATCCGGGGATTTGACGTTTGCCCCAGAGACCAGGTTGAAGTGGTTCTGCAGATCGTCCCCACAATCCGGGTTTTTGGCGTTTGCCCCAGAGTCCGGGCTGTCCTGGTTCAGCGGATCTTCCCCATAATCCGGGATTTTGACGTTTGCCCCAGAGTCCGTGCTGTTGTGCGTCAGCAGATCTTCCCCATAATCCGGG